GACGGCTATACCTATACCGATTTAGTCTTCATACCTTCGCTCCTATCGTACTCTTCGTAATCAAACATCGCATATTTTGGTTGCTTTGTAGTTTTCCATCGAATGCCCCCCTTCATCTTTTGTTTGAGTGAAATGATCCGATTGTTTAAGCTATTTTTGCTACAAATATATGCGTAACTTGGGGCTCTCGAATGCCCTAGTTTCGTGAAATTGCAATTTTGGCATTCTAAGGCAGTTGATGGGCCATGTGTTGCCCATTCTAAAAACGTTTGTGCACTTCATTCATATGCAAAGTAAAAAATATACCACCTTCGTTAGACTGACGCAGCCGATGATAATCTGAACCAGTGAAAGATTTGGATAACGCGCAGCTTGTAAGTCGTACTTTTAGAAGACAATAGTTATGCGCTTGCGTGCGTTGTACTCTGCACAAAGCGAGAGCGCTTAACTCTTATCAAAAGATTCTTAACCCATACCTTTCCAGAAATCCGATGAAACATAAAAACAAGACACAATACTGGACTTTGCCTGGAAAAACGAAAATGTGCTGCCTGAGGGCATCAACTTACACCGGCAAAACCGGCCAGGCTGCCTCTTCTTGAGAGGCAGAAACGGAGAACGCACGGATGATCCGGTATTAATAGTGTAAATTCCCAACTGGTGGGTGGCATACCGTCAGGCATGAGCATAGTGTTACAGACAAAATAAAAGCATGGCTGGGTGGATTTGTGAGTACAGGGAATTGTGTGGGAAACAGCACAGCATCACAAACAGTGGTGTTATCCGGTGTAGACGTGGTCATCCCTAGACCGACACGAGCAGGGAAGCACAGTTAATGCTGCTTTTTGAAAAAATGTCAAACAACATCAAATCGTTAAGACTTTAAGGTGGCAGAAAAAAGCGAAACGAGGGAGGGCGAAGCAGGAGGCTTCCTGCCTGACACATGACAAGGACAATGTAAACTGTGGAAAACGAGGAACCAGGACACCGGATATGGTAAGGCAGCAGAGTCGCATCATCCAGCCGTCATCTTAAGCATACGGAAATCTCGCAGGCGTGCATTCGGCCAAAACGAGTCCATCGAATCGGGAGGGCGAGGAGGCTCCCTGCCTGACACATGACAAGGACAATGTAAACTGTGGAAAACGAGGAACCAGGACACCGGATATGGTAAGGCAGCAGAGTCGCATCATCCAGCCGTCATCTTAAGCATACGGAAATCTCGCAGGCGTGCATTCGGCCAAAACGAGTCCATCGAATCCAGTCCTAGACGGGAACGCCCTGTAGGGCGGGTAGCCTTGTTACGTTGCTCCGTGATGCGTTCATATGCTCGTCACCCCTCCAGTAGCACGGATGTATCGACCATCGCCGGTGGTTCTGAGCCTCGCCTTTAATTCAGGAAGAACAAAAAAGATGATCGTTGCTGTTTGTCTGTAGCTGAATTGGACATGTTCTGACTGTCACTTTTCTTGCAACACCAAAAAATACAAGCAAACGACAGCTGTCCTTTCGTTTGTTTCAAAAACAGGCCCCAGGGATGGCCTGAGGGTACTTTGCGAGGCTCACGGCCAACGTCAAAGTGCAAGGACATGTCGCCTTCATTTTAGTTGGGTCACACAACCTCAAGTCCACTTCGTCACCCAAACATAACACACAAGTTCTTCCCCCTTGTCGTCTATAGTGATTATATGCATAAAATGCTGACAACTTATTATTTCCTGATTACAAGCAGTCACAGCTAGCACCTAATGGCTGTTTTTTGCTATGCACCATTCGTTTTCTGGAGTTGAGAGCAGTGACTCAGCGGCTGGTGATCTTTGATCTTACTTTCCTGTTAGGTTGACGTGGTAGGTCTCAGTTGTGCTACGATACTAATCAATTACCCGGGAACCTGTTGCTTGTCCGCTTTATACTTTTCTACTGTCACTGCTTACATCAACCCTTCTTTTTGCACAAGGACCCTATGTCATGATTCTTCAGTAAGACAAATCTACCGCCCGCTCCAACTAGTCCAACAGCCGGCCCCCCTGCAAGCCATCTAGACGACAAAGTTCTAACCTTCCTAATGCTAGGCACCTACTCTGACACAACTTGTACTTGAATTTCTAGATCGGAAAACGTGTCCACTTTTCCTGGGTCGATTTAACTTGCTGTCATCACATTTTAGATTTTTTCTATTGGGACCGTTTTATCTTATGCCTCCTGACACTCGCCACACGACTACAGTTGCCCAAGCGCCTCGTAAAACTGTCCATAAAACAAAGCACGTCAGCGCAATGATGGCATGGTACTGTCATACCCAGTGTGCCGGCAGTTCCGCAACTATATTTTCAGAATCTCGACCGCAAACCCTCTCCCACTCAAGTCCCTTGGCCGCAACTACAAGTAAATTTTTCATCCGGTCCCATCTTTGGGACGAGTTCTTTCGTGCCCGATGAATTTTCGCTCAAATTTGGTCAGCCTGGTTTTCTGCTACAAGTTCGGCTTGCGTCTCCCACAGGTTCAAATCCGTATACGGTGTTTGGTTCGCCTTATGTATAAGCGCCATATTCCCATCCAACCCATCCCCTGCACCTGACTTCCCAAAAACAGTGTAACCAGTGAGTCTGTTTAGCTCCAGATTAAGCCAAATTTTTCAGAGGAAACTCGCCATGTGCTTCTTATTCGAGTTATTCCATCTCCATTTCAACTTTTGCTCATTGTGACTCTGGCCATTGACCCAACTGCCTGAGGTCACTCATGGCCAGCAATGGTTTCATTTTTATTTCATGCCAGCCGGCTATTCCTTTGAGCTAGTCGGACCTCTAGTCCATTGTTCTCTACAAGTTGGGAAAGAAACATTATTATTTCATCGGATATTTCCCACTATTCATGACATTATCCTCTTTTTCTCACACTTTCCGGTACCCGCAAGTCCGCTTCAGTCATGCTTCACTCTGACTGGAAACGTATGATCATGCGTGAAGTTATGCCACACACAAATTGGGAAAAAAATTAATAATATCGTGTTACAAAAACGAGCCTCATGTGGAAGGCGTTCGTCACCTTTTACACAAAATCACTCGACAAATGTTTAGGGCCAAATTACGACCACCCAAGGATCCTGCAAGAATCGTCGCCCACATTGGCGAGGTAGTTGTATCTGATGTTACCTCAGTCTGTTGATGGAGGCAAACTTTGCTCTGTATGGGAGCGGGCTATTGATACGCCAATCCACGAAACTGGTATCTGCCTACCGCCCGACAGCTACCGGCCTATCAGACTCGCTGGTAAGCCGTGCAAAGTGACGGAACGCATCCTTAAGCGGACCATCTTAAACGAATTGGGCACCGACATCCTGGTGCCCTCAGCGTAATCCAGATACATCCGAAATGCACCTGGGAGACGAAAATGCGCACGCTTGTGGACAGCTTAGCCCAAGCCAAAGAGGAAAGACCAATATTATATGACACACTTTCTGACTCCCAAAAAACATTTGATCGAGTCCTACAGGTTCCACTGCTCTTCAAACTCGAGTCTTTTGGAATACAAGGAGAAAGTTCATGCTGGAGTGAGACGTTCTTATCAGATATGGCATTCCGAGTGAACGAAGATCCTTGAGGGACAGAAACGGAGAACCGACAGTGGTATCTGAGGTTTATACTGAGGTCTATACTCAGCCCCAGCGTCCTCATCCAATCCACTCTTGTCAAGGCGATACTACGAACAGCCTCTAACCGACTTGGTCTTCACGGTGGAGGACATTCGTCAACTCTTGCACAAGATCAACCCATTCTGCGCGTTGGGGCCCGACGAGGTCCATCCAAGGACGCTGAAGGAAACGTCCTACACACTGGCAAATCATTTACACCTGGTGTTTCGTCAGTCGCTTGACGAAGGCCGCCCTCCCTCTGCTTGGAAGGAAGCGATTGTCACGCCAATCTACAAAATTGGTTACCGACTATCGCCTGACACCTACAGGCCTATAAGCCCCACTAGCGTGCCATGCAAGGTGATGGAACGCATTCTGAAGCGAGCTATCCTAGATCACCTTACTTCCAGTGATCTGATATCTCCAGCTCAACACGGATTTCTCCCAAGCCGCTCTTGCGTGACAAACATGCTAGTGTTTATGGACAGCTTAACCCAGGCCAAGGACGAAGGACGCATATCGGATGCCATAGTTTTCGACTTCTCAAAAACAGTTGATGGGGTCCCACACGTCCCGCTGCTTCACAGACTCGAGGCTTACGGGATTTAAGGGAAAATCCTGTGCTGAATCAAGGCGTTCCTATCAGACAGATCGTTCCGAGTGAGAATAGGCCCGACCTACTCTTCTCCAGCGCCGGTCTCTATTGGAGCTCCTCAAGGCTCCGTCTTGGGACCACTCCTGTTTCTGATCTACGTCAACGACCTCCCAGACGTTCTTGCGAGTCCATGTTTACTTTTTGCGGACGACTTGAAATCCTGGAGTTCCAATACGTGTCCTTCTCACTGCACCATGAGAAATCGGCCCAAAACGCATTCGCCATTTTACTGATGATCTGACGCACCTTCTCCCGTATTACTCGCATGGACTTCCAAGTACTCTATGGGGCCTACGTCAGACCACTCATGGAGTACGCCAACCAGGTTGTCCACTCAGGACGCCCGAAAGACGTCACCCTCATTGAGCGTGTCCAGCGGGCCGCTACGAGAATGGCTGCCGGCCTCAAATCCATGGACTACGAAACGCGTCTCGCGATGCTTGATCTGTTTCCCATGGAGTACCGTCGCCTACGAGGGGACCTAATTCTTACTTATGCCCTGTTTGAACAAAGCTTGGCAAACAGGTTTTTCACCGTTGACCCAGCAAACACACGGCGGTGACATAGTAAGAAAATTTTCAAGCTCAGAGTACACAAATTCATTAGACAAAAATTTTTCTCACCTCGGGCAGTAACTGCGTGGAATGACCTTCCTTCGACGGTTGTCCACGCTCCTTCTAGAACCCAGTTTAAAGCACTATTAGACATTTATTTATGCGAATCCTCGCGCTGGCAAGCATACTGCCCCGCTTAGAACGTAAACAGCAGTGCTACACCTTTTTTCACTTGTGCCTTTCAGGTGAACGACAGCCACTGACCAACAAGAACAAAGCTGACCTGAGAAACTTGGGCAAAAGTCTCGATCCCGTGTATCAATCCGTGAATCCGTGAATCCGTGAGGCTACCAGCCAAATTGGATTATGAAAAAACGTCCTATAGGAGTCTGACTTTTCACTGAAACTACAGAAAAAGGTGAATCTACAGTTAATGGAAGAAGTTCTGTTGCGATGAATAATAGGAGACGTGGAAGGTCGCTCATCTTGAAGGGTCCAAAAAGAACTTTCAAAGTTGAGAACGCCAGGGGCGTCTGGAAATTACTAACTTTGAACTGAATATAACACAGATGTTTGAGCGCACCAGAAACGGCTCCGGATTTTACGAAATACCAGCTCATCTTCTGTCACCCATAATAATCCACTCTCTGGTGCCTCTGAAGATATCGTTGACGATGAAAATTGTGGGCCTGTACCTATTCAGAAGCTCGAGGTATGTTTTACTCCCAGTAGGAATCTAGTTTCAAGTGCGTTACATCTCACTGCGTTGAATTGAAGTCCTCGTTGGGGGAATTGAATGAAAGTAACTCGTAGCCCCCCTCTCGGTAATTTCGAAATGACTCAGTGGTTAGTGCACAAATCCACTTACCCGAAGGCCTGTGGTTCGAGCCCGACCTCCGAATCGCGATTTCACCTAGGTTTGGGCGACCTGGCAGTAACCCGGGATACTGCACGAGGGGTGGACAGTCCTCGTACTTCCTTCGGATGGCATGGCAGCTAGGCAACGAAACAATGTTACAGCTGGACGACTTCTCAATAAGTTGGGAGATCTAGGAGTCGTTAAGCCTCAAGAACATGGGCTTTTCCCCAATGTGCGCAAACAGCATCCTTACCCTCGAGGTTAATTAGCCATTTCACAACGGAAGCGTGTTGCTGGTGTGGAAACTCTCCCACGGAGGTCTGTGCCGTATCTGGTGGATGCAACGTGATTGTGAGTCCCAGCGCTCTGATGAACGACTTTGATCAGCGCCAACACTATGTCCACCAGACCTGATACGCGGGAACTACATCCGGGAGGCCTTCAGGAAGTTAACTCACCTGCCTGTAAAAGAGGTGTGAAGTGGTAGCTGGAGGATAGTTGCTCCAGCGTTACTATGAGAAACAGGTGGTCTTTCGGCGGACTTGACTGGCAGCGGTCATCCATGCCCAGAAGAAGAGTTAATCTGACTCTGCGCGACTTGAATCCACAGTGCGTCACAAAAAGGTGCAGTAGTTGTGTCGGGAGGAAAATCTGGGTGGGCAGAGCCACTTGTGAGCATGGGAAAACCCAACCTGCCTTTGTACGTCTCGAGTCATCTCGGCTGTCTATCGGGCTCTCCGCGTCAGACATCTGGTATGAGCTTGGTTTCTCTAAGTGCGAATATGGACAGTTGTTCAAGGCAAGCCGACTGTTTGTGGGGAATGCAAAGGCAGTTTTTCGTTAAGCAATTTTACGCGGAGACGTATGCCACCTGAGAGGTTAGCAGCTCTAATAGTTTGTGCCAGCTTCCAAGGGGGCTCTGTGGCGAAAAAGCATTTGAAAGATCCCTTGTGAAGTAAAGAAGGAAATTTGGTGGGGAAAGCACTCAGTGCTAGTCTACCTCAACCGTTCTGAGTTGCCCACACCTCCAAACACAGGCGACCGGTATAGAAACTGATGACAAAAATGACATTGACATCGATTAGCAGCCATATCTTAGTGTCTCCAACCAGACGCAGTGGAGATCACACGGTCCAAATCCTGGAAGACAAGTTGCCCCGACATCCCCCAGACGTTTTGCAATATTTTGTATACGCCTCTGCCAAGCCAGTGGTTGGAAACCTCTGTCTGCATCACAATGAATTGGGCACGAAAACCACCACACTCTTCGGCGAACAACGGTTCGTTATCCGATATACATTGTCCTGCCAATGCAGACTCGTGCTGGAGACATTTTTCGACGCAACTGCCCGTTCTACAACCGAATGTTCTCTTTTCAATTGCCTCGTTACTGATTCGCCAACACCAACCCACACGAGCTATGGTTCTGAGACAACGACTATCGAACACTTGAAGACGTCTCAGTTCCGCTGCTCGAATAGGCCAAGTCTCACAGCCATACAACAAAACAGCCCGTACTGTAGCTTGATACACACGTCCCTTCAGATTCAGGGATAAACCATTTTGACGCCATAGGTGTCTCAAGTTAGCAAACGCGGCCCGAGCCTTGCAGATTCGGGCATTCACCTCATCTGTCACACTACAGTCAGAACTAATACAACTTCCAAGATACGTAAAACGCTCTACGACTTCCAGTACCTCTCCCTGGATTGTAAGGGGCGTGTTCAGTGACTACAAGTCCACAAGCATGACTTTACACTTTGTGGGTGCAAAGTGCATACCAAAGGGGTGACTTTGGTTAGTTCATCCAAGAATACTTGCGCCTTCTCCGCCTCTTCGAACATGAGAACGATGTCATCTGCATATTCCAGATCGACAAGTTTTTCTTCACGGGCTATTTGAACATCAGGGTTTTGGAGACCCTCCAGCGTTCGTCTCATTATTTCATCGATCACAAAGTTAAAAAGGAATGGAGAGACTGGGCACCCCTGACAGACACCGCTTTGCGTACGGAAACTTTTGGAGAGCTCTCCGTACACTCTCACACGTCCGGAAGTCTGAGACAACCCCCAACCTGGAGGGCCAGGAGACTGTGTTCGTCAGACCTCTAACCATTGACCAACCTGGTATGAGAGACTGTGAGTGTCGCGAGACACTCTCCAATATAGCTCAATGGATCGCTGAGGTGCGCAAACCATCACACCACGGTAAAGTCCAGTCTCTTCGTGACTCACTCTGTCTAGGCTTGGGCAACCTGGCAGTATCCAAGCCCTCGTGCAACCTTCGGGTGACATGGCAGCTAGGTACAGAAAGGGTGCTACAGCTGAACGATGTTCGGGACCGACAGGGATAGTTCTCTGAGAGTTAGGCAGTGCCACTCTTCAGTCTAATATCCAGTGCTTGAGTGTGCCTGGTAGCGCCTTATCACACGCAAAACTCCCAGCACCCTGCAAATAAGTTGTGATCTCGTCACGGTATGAATTCACGTCCAATGGTGGAGCAGTTGGAAGTGACTCTAGAAGAGGACCATCAACGAGTATCTAACCAAGTAGAGACGCTTCCAGTAGATGGCTCCACACAATACCCACTCCGGGTAATTCAGTCGTAGCGACCTCCGCATCACCAGAGGTGCACAGCCAGAGCCCGGGAGACAGTGAGAGGGCAGTCAGTTCATTTACAGTACTTTCTGTCAGTACTTACTGACAGGCAACACACATCAATGCAATATACGAGCAAGAGCCACCTGTTACCCAGCTTACTTCAGGCAGCCAAGCAAACAGGCTCTCGGAGTTTGAAAATGGACTGAGGTATTCAAGGTTATTACTAAAAGGTGACACAGCAGATGTAGCTGGGCGCGATACATGCCAAACAAAGCGGTTAGTTCTAGTTCTGAGACCTGCTTTTGAGTATTCAAATTCGGGTGTGGTAGCAAAAATTTTCGGTAGTGACATCATTACTCTTACCCGCTCTTCTAAAGAACGCGTATATAAGTGACGTACCTTTTTGATTCACAGGGTGGCGCCAATTGGCGAATGCAATTCTGGCCTTCGAGGTCCGCGGGTTTACGTCGCCTGTTTCACCACTAGCTTATCGGACACCACTGTTTGTAGGACATGAATGGCGCATAGTATTCACGAACTTCTGGGGGAGAGAATTTTGCGCACGCATGTGGAAAAAACTGTACGGTCGATAGAAACAAACACACCCTTGAATCCAAAGGACACCAAAATTGTAGGATACCCATATGTACAGCGTGATGTAACATTTGCGAAAATATAGTCCCTAGATCCTCATCCCGGTCGGAATCCTTGCTGATCCTGGGTCCCATTTTCACACCGTAATGGGGCATAGAATGAATGACGCAAAGGGTTTGGTAAACGCGTGGTTCAAGCTAATTCCCGTGATTGTCACACTCATCGCAAGCAAGTAGTCTGCTCATATTCTTAGGGTTTCTAGCCTTCTGCATCTCTTAATCTTCCTAGATGCACCAATCTTCTTGATCCGCGCAAATATTGCTTTTCACCTGAGGTATGAGATTTCGTCGGGTGATATTGTGCTCTCAACCGCGAGTAATACGTATCCGAGCTTCGAGCAGTTTTGAGTTTTGCTCCAGACTTAGTAACTAGGCTTGGTTGGTACAACCATTCCGAAAACGGAGTATCTAGTATCTTGCAAGGTTTTCGATAGTGCCTTCCATGATGAGAACATCAGAGGACGTCTTCAAAGGAACTTCAGTAGGTCGTTCTAGTAGACCGTTTTCTTATCGTGGTCCGAGAGCTTCTCAGTGGCCAAACGAAGTGTTCGCATCTTGCACGCCTCTGAAGCGACGGTGAACAAGCGCGTAATCCGAATCCGCGAAAGCGTTCCAGAACGAGCGACCGTGAGTAATTAATCCACGTCACCTATAACCAGCGGTGATATAGATTATCTGTGTTGTAGGTCGACTCGTATGCGGTGAAAATCATGTGGCCAAGCGGCTTCAGTTATTTTGGAAGTTAGTATCACGCAAAAACGGTCTGAAGTCAGCACAGTACTGCGACAGGCGTTCTCTGTTGTCCGTGTGCCTGCCTTCCAGACCTGCACGACCAGCCAGTTAAGTTTCATGAGCGCTAAGTCTACCTACTTGCGCATTCACATGCCGGTAACACAACACTATCTGAGCTCTTAGTCCGCCACAACAAGGTGCTCAAAGCATCATTATTGGCAGCGCGACATTAGTGTTCAACACTGATGTTTCATTGCCATACAACCATGATTTATTTAAGAGCCTCAATTTGGAAAAAAATAGTAAAAGTGGATGGGGAAGGAACTTAGTGCTAGCTTACTACAATCATTTTGAGGTGTGTACACCTCCAGACACGTATTCAGGCAATCTGGGTAGAAACTGACAACAAGAAAGCCACTGGTATTGATTCGCAGCTTCTTCAACTAAGCCCAGTAAGGATCACGCGGTCTCCATCCTGAAAAGGGAGTACCGCCAACAGCACCCGGACTTTTCGCAGTCTCTTTCATACCCTTCTGTCAGGTCAAGGGTCGACCAGCTCCCAGCCCGCGCCACTCCCAACTGGGCACGGAAAACACCACCCTTCTGTAAGCAATGGTTTGGCATATGCAATATATGGCCTAACCAACGCAGACTCTGGTGCTGGACGCATTCTTTGCTTCAAGTCCCCGTCTCACAACCAAAAGCGCTTTCTAATTGTCTTGTTATGGACTCACCGACAACAACCCACGCGAGCTATGGTTCTGGGACAACAGTTGTCGAACACCCGGAAACGTCTCAGTTCCGTTGCTCGACTAGGCCCATTCTCACAGCCACACAACAAAACAGCCCGTACCGTAGCCTGATACACGTCCCTTGAGATTCAGGGATATATCGGTTTTCCGCCATAGGTGTCTCAAATGAGTAAAAGTGACATGGGTCTTGGACATTCGTGCATCGACCTCATCTGTCACACTACAATCAAAACTAATACAACTTACAAGATACGCAAAGCACTCCACAACTTAGAGTGCCTCTCCCTGATCGGGTGGCATGTTCAGTGACTGGATGTCCATGATCAAGAAGGTATTCAAGACGTCATGAAACTTATGTTTGCTGGTGTCAGAGTTACAGTCAGTTAGGTCCAGCTTGTGAGACTGTTTCACAGGCATTGCGAAACGAACCACCCGGAGGCGACTATCAACTCGTATCCAGTCAATCTAGGATTCTTTCGCCCGGTGACTTAGGAGGACACAGATTCCTGTACATCCTCCCTCAGCAGCCTTTGGATCGCCAGTGGTCTATCAACTCGTATCCAGTCAAGCTAGGATTCTTTCGCCCGATGACTTAGGAGGACACAAATTCCTGTACATCTTCCCTCAGCAGCCTTTGGATCGCCAGTGGTGCGCAGCCGGGAGCGAGTGGAGATTAATGGGGCAGTTCAACTATTTCGCTTGCATCTCGAATTCTTGCTTCTGAGACGCAGCACACTAATGCCAAGCGAGTCCATGAGCAGCTTGGTTTCCTGCTTCCTTAGGAGTGCGAAAATTAAAAGCGGCTGAATAGACTGAGCGTCTAGGCTTGAAGACTGATTTCGAGATGCCTGAAGGTGTCGGCGCCGGATGACGCGCAGATGTTGTTTGCAAAACCGATGCAGTCATCATCATCAGAGACAGCAGGACGAGCGGAGTCCTCAATCTTAACTGCTGAGCCTATAAGAAGAGAGTTATTATGGAAATGGGAAGAGGGGGAGAAAAGTATGTAAGTGAAAAAAGGAGGCGTCCGTAGTAGCTTCTTTCCGCTTGCCCGCCCTGCTGTATGCAGCTAGTTGGGCGACCCGGTTGACTGCACCACCTGACGGCCAACGTGGCATGTGGTTGTTTGTTACTTGTAAGTGACGTGGTTGTACACGGCCTGGGATACTGCCAAGGCACCCAGACCCAAATAAGAGGACGGTAATGGGCCTAAACCAATACCTTCAGCTCACAAGCCCGACTCAAGACAGCTGTATTTGGCCTAAAGGTCTCGGATCAGGCTAATTTTCTCGGGAATATGTCATCTCCCATATCCCAACTTCCAACATGCTGTACCAGGAGGCTTTTAGTCAGAACTCTACGCATTGACCAGCTTGGTACGAGGGAATCCGTGAGTGTCTTGTGCCGTTCCTAGTACAGCTCATCTGGTTATGTGGGGGCACAAATCGTCACTTTGCGGTAACGTTTGGTATCCTGCATTGTGCAATGACGCCCTGTATTCCTCAGCCTGTGCCTGTCCAAGCTATCTGCGTCTGTGTGCGGGACTACATCGTGCATCATCAACTGTGGTGTCTCGATCATTTGGTACACATGCCAGAACATCGTCTACCTATTCGGGTGTTGTTCTCCTTCAGAATGATGCAGACCATGAGAGGGACGAATTAAAACTCAGTAGTGGAGCGTGAAAAAAGATTGCGAGGAGTTTGTTTTTGGGTTCGAACCCAACCTCGGCACACCGACTTCTTCTGTCAAGGCTTGGGTAACCTGGCAGTATCTCGGCCTTCATGTTTTCCTGGGTTTAACAGCAACTGGACTCCGAGAGGTTTTTAAAGCTGGATGATGATGATTATTATTATGACAAATTCTATAGAGGAGAATGTCGGTAGCTCAGGTAGCGTAGATGGTCGTTGGCTTGTTTGCTGAGCTGGGCAGCTCAGCGAACATTGTGACAAATATCTACCGACGTCCAGGATAAAGGGCCTGTTTCGCTGACCAAGGCTATATTGTCCGTTCCCTTTTGATCCTATATTGCGCCCCCAGTCAGTTTCTGGTTTTGCTGCTCCTGTTTTTTTTTTTTGTCTTACTTTATCCGGAAAGATGTTCCTCCGGTAGACATTTTTTGGAATTCAGACTTTTTATTCCCCTTGACAATCAGGATTGATTGTTTACCTACTTTCATCTTATCGTTACTCTAGAGCGCGGGTGTAGCTGCGGCAGATATAAAAAAGCTCCGCGAGGCTGGGTTTCACTCCGTCGAAAGTATTCAGTTCGTCCCGAAGAAGGCACTCCTTGCCATCAAAGGTATCAGTGAAGCGAAAGCGGACAAAATCACGGTAAGCGGTCGCATGCCTGTTCTTGTCTCTATCATCTTCCTCGCTTCTAGGAGGCTGCACAGAAGTTGGTGCCTTTTGGTTTCACCACGGCAACCGAGTTCCATCAAAAGCGGTCTGAAATCATCCAACTCACTACGGGTTCCAAAGAGTTGGACAAGCTGTTGCAAGGTATGAGTGTCTGGGGGTACAAACATGTGCTTTTACCTCATACCTTATTCTCCCGCAGGTGGCATTGAGACTGGCTCCATTACAGAACTGTTCGGTGAATTCCGAACCGGTAAAACTCAGATATGTCACACTCTTGCCGTCACTTGCCAGGTAATTCGATCACACCTCATTAGTCCCTCTCCGTGTTGCAGTTGGCTTCATCTTATAAACAGCTGTGCATCTGCAGTAGACAATGATGCCACACAGTCATGCCACATCCGATTTAAAAAAGATGGAGTGGGGACGCATTGTAAACAGGTCCTATATCCTTAGGAAAAGTCAAGCGCGACTATGAAACAGAGCAGAAGTATCAGGAAGTCGGCTTCCCAACATACTCATCCATTAGAAATGAGAAAAAACTTCATCTGTGGCAGCCTTTCGATCCATATCTGCCATGCCACCCCAAAGAAGTACGCAGGTCGGATACTGCCAGGTTGCCTAAGTCTAGATAGTAGCAGTCGGATGCAGAGGTTGAATTCGATCCACAGGTATTCCGGTCACTGAGCTCGCGCCTTAACCACTGAGCTATCTCGATCTCAATGACATCCATACTGGGTGTGTTCCCCGTACCAATCACAAGCAATGGAAGGTCAAAAAACAAGGTCGTGGGATCTAGAGTCCATCGTGCACAACGCATATAACCTACGTACAATGATGGTATTTCTCCATTCATGCTGAGTTTTAGTATGATTGGGAGATTGGTTGGGGCGAGGTGGCTCAGTGGTTAGAGCGCGAACTTACTGACCGGGAGTTCCTTGGTTCGAACCCAACTTCTGCCTCTCGACTTCCCCTGTCAGGGCTTGGGCAACATGGCAGTATCCCAACCCTCTTGCTTCCTTTGGATGGCATGGCAGTTAGGCACCGAAAGGGTGTTACAACTGAACCACATTTCTACTGGTGAGGGACTCAAACGGACCCACAGCCAATTTAACGTGATTCTTTTACTTAAAAAGTGGAGTTGTCAGCAGTAAGCATCTTGGTGGCGTCTAAAAAGATTCGTTAAAATGGATGCTCATTCGAAGACCTAACAACCAAGGCACCTCCAGTAATTAGTTTTTTTCGTGCGCGATAAACGTTAACAGGTCTGTTAACAGACATGCCTTTCGACCTGCCGAGAGCAAGATGGGAGTGTGACGATTGCACTCCGTTAGTAGTGTATTAGATGTGCTGTTAAAAAACTTATTAACAGTCATATTGAGAGACCCGAATCGGATATACTACTCATTGACCGCGTAATTCTTGCAGTGGCTCTTGTCGATCGAGTAATTACATAACCGAAAGCAAACATAATTTCTTGGCTTGGGCTAGGGTGTTTTTTGTGATTGTAAGCGCCAGCGACCAAGCAGATTCCATGTGAGTTGTGTTTTCCCCATGAAATTTGATTTTTGCCGAAACAGTTCTATCTTGTAGCGGGTATGTGGTTCTGAGACTGCTCGGACCAGAAATTCTCCTGAATTGAAACTAAATTTTTTTATCGATAGTCAATTATTTCACTCGTCCTGTTTCTAGTTGCCGATTGACATGGGCGGTGGCGAAGGTAAATGTCTCTACATCGACACGGAGGGGACCTTCCGCCCTGAGCGACTTCTTGCTGTGGCCGAACGGTACGGCCTGTCTGGCAGCGATGTCTTGGACAACGTGGCCTATGCCCGGGCCTACAACACAGACCATCAGATGGAACTACTCATCAACGCCGCCGCGATGATGAGCGAGTCTCGGTATGTTGACCATATCTGACTGATGACGCACGCTGAATTGTAGTGGTTTTTCATTAAGTTCGCAGTCTTTGAAATATGCGCTACTATCCTGTCAAGTTGTCCTAACATCTTCCTTAAGATGTCTCAACGGAATCCCATGACTTGATTTGAACTCTAGAGTGTCTTGCTAGAAATCTAACGATGATTCAAGTGGTGTTCAACCAATGGCATGAAACCCGAAGGCATGCATAATTGTCAGAGCACCTTAATGTAGCATCGAGTCGTCTTTAGATATGTACTCAGACACTTGAAACCTCCTGCCGGATGGAGTTGAATATTTTATCGATGACTAATTCTTAAAAAGTACGGACAGCCCACCACCAGTTTCCTTGTTCTTTGAGCCCATCAGATGGACCTAGCCCCCGAATTTCCATCAATCTTCATTCATACTTGAACACGAAGTTGTACTATGTTGCCATGTACAAATTTACAAATTAGCCTGGTGTGGACGGCAGACCTGAATCTGTCACTTGCAAAGGTTCACGTTGTCTTTTGGGTTTCAGTGTGTTCATCTTCCCAGTGATGTTCACTTTCTCCCAGTTTTTCGTTGCAATCACGAGTGACCTTCAGGGACGGGCAATAAGCTGACTTTATCTAAATATCCTCTCGACCTCGCGTGGCACTCATTCGTTACTAAGCCATAAGGTTTAAAGTTTAGCCAGTCCTTTATACGAAAATGTGGTCATATCCCAAAAACTCGGTCAGACGAGGCTTTTCGTTCTTGCAGAGAGTAAGATATGCGTATATGGGATCGGTAGTGTGACCTGTCGGCTACTAGTCACGACTACGCGTACGCTGACCAGCTTTGAGAGACATTATCAGACATGGCCCAGTCGCGCCCTCAATGGCGCTCGTGCATCCAAGCTGTTTCCTTCAGCGCATAGCTCCTTTTTCAACCCCCCACCCCACTTAACAGCCCACTGACAGTGCTGGATTTATGCACCAATTTATCAGCTCCCGCCAGCAATGCGCAGCTACCTACCCCACCCCAAATCATCGGTGAACGAAACTGCGGCAGCTACAACCAGCGTACGACGAGTACGCGGTTATTACAGCTGACAATGATGATGATGACCAGCTTTGAACAGCTGATTTAATTTAACTGTGAACCCTGCTACCTTGAATGTCTCCCTTAGCCAAAGTCTAGGATGACCACTGTGTTCTACCAAACTACTAGTTGGTTTACCTTGTCTTAGCCAAAGAAAACCTATGAATTATCCAGGGCTCAGATGAATCGTAAATACGTGAAATTACAGGTTTGTTGGTCACGTTGCGTGTGGTCAGTTTATATGGCTTCCTATGATTTGCTCGAATCCCAGAACTTCACCATTTAGTCGGCTAACGGTTAGCAGCTAGCTTCCTGGCATGGAGGCCCGTACAAGCCCTAGGATGTTAACATAGACTAATTCGCTTCATTTATCATTATTCGGACTGACAGAACGGCTTTGCATCCATGGTTTGTACGTCTTTAACCAAAAGCCAGTTAACCATTTGTCGTCAAGACTATCAGTTCTTAGCCTATTTAAGTGGCCATTTTCTTGGGTACTTGGTTATTTTCGCCCACTTTCTGATTGATTCGCATCGCAACCCGTTTTAATGATACTGAACGGGTCACAATAGGTAAGCCGATTCCCTTCTTTTTGACTATCATCGCGTATGGAATGTTCTACCCAAAGGAGCCTCAATAGTTGATGTAAACTGCACACTTGCAAAGAAGAATTCGAACTAAAGCCACACTCTCTCCCACCCCTGGCACCAATTAAAATAACGGTACTAACTGTGCTTAGTTCTCGGTCTGAACCTCCCAAGCTAGCGTTCTCGCCAAAAGGACCATTAAAGGTGCGCAACGTGTATTAACGCCAAAAACCAGATCAAAAACATGTGCCGCACATCGTATATCATGTGAATGCTGTGAGAACATTCTGGAAACTCCGGTGACTTCTGGTTGCCGCGGTGGCAACCGGCATTTGGTTGATACTTGATCATGACTGGCTGTTGGGCCCACATTTTCGGCCAATCTTAGCTCGCCTTGATGCTGAATTGGCAAGCAATTCGATCTGGCCAATCGCGTGCGTGGTATGATTCTTTGTCTTAGCAGCGCCTAAATGCCGGCGTTAAAATAGTTTCCGTGTGGAATTCTGCCCAATAGAACAGCTTCGGAAGAATGGCAAATAAGAACCATATACAGGTCCCTTACAGCGGCGTAATGAAATTTTATTTGTTACGGGTTTTTTAAATAGTTTTTGTGTGGATGGGTGGAATGCGGCAGATTTCAATATTTTCACGTACTAGCACACCGCGGTGAATTGGTATAGTGGTCTCCAGCTCCTGCCCTCTACGACTTCACTGACCAGTGATTCTTTTCATCTGGCTGATTTCGAATAAGAGTCACCAAACCGGAACACAAGTATGTCTCCACATATAACGATTTAACTCATGGCAATGATCAGAAACTCGGTAGCTACCAACTTGTCCTGCGTTTTGTCTTATCGTTCAACCTGCAACCCTCTTAGCAACCGTGAGATGCTCCAGCGAATGGTGTTACTGCGTTCGTGTTCAAGACTAACCTATCGGCCAAGTCAAGTCCCATCATAAAGACTCGATCGATCTGGCAGAATTACATGGGTAGTGCTTACGACATAAACTGTTTGGAACGATGGCCGACCAATAAATCCGAGCCCAATACGGCCTGTTTCCATTTTAGTGTTTCTCCAGAGGATGTACCACTTATTCTGGCAATCCAGAAATTATCTCATCTCTGGTTCGTGAATGTTTTGTGGGTAGGATTGAAATGGAAGAAACTCCCAGCCCCCTATGGGGAAATTTCTTCGAGAGAGAGAGTACTGCACCACCCCCAGTTCTGCTTATTTAAACAGCAAAGTATCTGTGGCAGCGAGTTTCCCGTTCATACGTATGCAACGTGTATGTTAATTCCGTCTTTTGTTCATCTGTTTGCCAATTCGCATTTTTAAGATCCCTTTCATCCTCCACTGGAGTTGGTATACCTGATGGTGTTTTTGTACTCTAGAGCTTTTCGGTTTCTAACTAAACACCTGTTAACGAATAATGTCTGGTTGTATCTCAGTAGTGAGAATCTACCGCTAGTTAACTCAAACGCTTTAACTGTTCATTTGATTGACTTTGGATACTTCTGAGGTCGGTATGTTCCGATCCATGAATAGCTTGTATGCCTTACCACATTCATTGCTGTATTGCAAGCAACAAACTTGTCACTCAGTAGAGATTGTGCACCCAATGCTGTTTTCGTTGAGGTCGTGATAACTCCGTCGGTTAAGGCTGTAAGCTGCTTGCTGAAAAGTCCGTGCTGCGAACGCAATGTGTGTTTTGCGGTTGCTCCTGTCTTGATCTGACCAACCTCGTGTTTCCCTCGGATTGCATGGCAACCATAGACCGAATGCATTGTCATACAGTGAATATAATTTTTTTTTACCTTTTTACCGTTTCACGGAAAATCTAAGAAACAGAATGTTGTAGGTGTGTGCCTCCCATNTTTTTTTTTTACCTTTTTACCCGTTTCACGAAAATCTAAGAAACAGAATGTTGTAGGTGTGTGCCTCCCATTGTTCAGTACTTTTTTCTTCTCAGCTGCGCATACTTTCAAGGTTCATTACTCTTTTGTTGACAGTGTGACTGAGGGTACCTTTGGGGATTCAAAAGCGACTCGACTCACTGACTGAATTCCTACCTTTTATTTACCTCAAACTTTTAGGTACGCCCTTTTGGTCGTGGACAGTTCCACCGCTCTTTATCGGACAGACTACTCTGGTCGCGGCGAACTATCAGCCCGCCAAATGCATTTGGCCCGCTTCCTCCGCACACTTCTACGTCTCGCCGATGAGTTCGGTGTCGCCGTCGTGATCACTAATCAAGTTGTCGCCCAGGTCGACGGAGCTGCGATGTTCACTGCGGATCCGAAGAAACCCATCGGTGGTAATATCATGGGGCATGCTTCGACTACCCGGTATGTGTGGTAATGGAGAGCATACAACACCATTCATTTTACTGCTTCCGTTCTTACCAACTATCTTTGTAGGGTTTGTTCTACCGGTCTGGTTGCCACGGTTAGTGTGATAAGGTTGTGAACTGCTTCACTAATCCGGTTCTCAGGAGACCCGCTGTTTGGCTGGAAATGTTGGAAACTATGCTTACAAACCGATAGGGATCTCGACCCTTCCGACTTATTTTTGCACCCTCAATATCAATGCCGCTATTGTTGTCCGTAATGATAGGAAGCATGCTTACTTTCGGATAACTATCTCCTGAGACAGGATTAATCGATTCCAGAAATGTATCGCGTACATGCTAACCGGAAATGGCGATCTGTACAGGTAGCAACCCATCGCTACGCCCCACCACGCTCCCTAGCAATGCACTGATGGTGTCACCTCGATTGGTGGTGAAGCGTTTGCAAGCAAATTGCCCAGCTCAGCGAACAAACCAACGACAGATAACCACGCAGCTGTAGCACCCCTTCGGTGCCTAGCTGCCATGCTACCTGAAGCAAGCACGAAGACTGGGATACTGCCAGTTTGTCCAAGTCTAGACAGGGGGAGTCGAGTGGCAGGGGTCGGGTCCGAACCACGGACCTTCCGGTCATTAAATTCGCGCTCTAACCACTGAGCTATCTCCCCCCCCCGGGGGGGACACCGTAGCACCAACAGGATCCCACTACCCGATTATCTGCAGATGTATTCGTCCCCGAGTGTTTCCGTCGAGTTCTCACTAGGTCTTGTTACTTTCCAAGCTTGCGCTTTTCGTGAGCAGGCGCGGATTTTCGGACTACAAACTCCTTGAGGTAGCGAAGCAAACCAGCGTTGCTATTTCTGGAGTTAATGGGGTAATTCAATTCTCGAAGCGTCTAATCATCATCGTGATGTAACTAACGAGTAGCCTGCAATGACTGTTCCTAGCTTTGCCTCCGGTCCTGGTAGTGGAACACTTGCAATTGATTTTTTCACCGTACTCAGTACTATGTGTGTATAAGATGCCATTCGAGGGCTTACGTTGTATTTTCACCCAGATTGCTTACGCTTTACGATTTCATCAACCATTAACTGGACGGATGTCCTTTGATGACTATTCCGGCTGGGTTAGCTGGTACCGCTTCTGGTGATATTACCTCCGTTCTACAGGTAACTACGCCTAGAACTCCATCTAGATAGGAAGAAGTTCGTTGGTCTTCGCAGGATGTGCATGGCAACTTCTATTTCGATTGTAGCCCGGTGATTGTTGTTGCTAATCGACCACACATTACTCGGCCCTCAGTTTCTATCCAAATTTTCTCCTATTGTTACCTTCAGACTTTATCTACGAAAGGGGCGTGGTGAGACAAGAATATGCAAAATCTACGATAGCCCTTGTCTTCCAGAAGCAGAGGCGATGTATGCTATACTTCCGGATGGAATCGGTGATGCAAAGGACTGAGATGAAACAACAATATGATCTTTTGCCACGTGTTTCACAAAAATTTCTTACTCCACTTCCTGTTGGACGATTTTTCGACCGTTTTGAATTATTTCACTGATAACTTTCATATTGTACATAATGCATATGCAAACAGCACTTTATCTTCTTGAGGGTCATCCGACGAACGTGTTGATATCCGCTGATGCGCTGCTCACCTTCCGACAATTTCCAGCCGAGCATGAGCTTCTTTGGTGATCTACCTGCAGAGTTTGATTAGTCGAAGTTCATACTGACTTATAAGGATCTAATACTACTACCTATCCGCGGGTCATGTAAGCTGGCCCACCAGTCGTCGGAGGATTAGTGCTCCCTCTTCTTTCCAGCCACGTGATTTACTCATAACGAAACACTTTGAGCTGATTATCAACCCTGTGTCAGCGAGGAGTTTGCGGGGTTTATGAATTAGTTGCAGTGCCTTGTTCTGCTTTTTGATGCTGAAGCCCTTGTGGTCACCACTGATCCGATTACCTGGCTCGGTTGGGAACTTGGCTGACTGAAACCTGAATTAATATGGTAAACAAAAATGGCAGACCACTGGTAGTGTTCAAGGTCAATTCTGGACACCAGACAATGTACCATATCTGATTTCACCTTAACTGAAGATGCACACAAGTGGACCGAGCGGGGTGTAAATACCCAACTGGCTCTCCAGTTTGGGGGTTGGAACATGTATGGCGATGTGTTCCGTAAAAAATGGTAATGTACTTGCATTTCCAGCCGAACACCGCTGCCTTGTTGGGAGGCTTTTGAGCGAAAGGCTTTGGTTGAGCACCCTAATCGTCCTCCTGTCCAGCTGTTGGCGCCCTGGCAGTACCCATGACATACACAATACCAACTGGTCGCGAGCTGTCAGAAAGTTTTCATCAACCTTCAAGTCGCTCAGATGCGCTGCAGTCAGAATCGGCTGTAGCAAGTTATCTTATAGTGGTTACCTACGGCCCTGTCAGTAGAGGGGAGTAGAAGTATTCTCTGACGTTCTCTTCGTTTATTTACAACACGTATACATGGTAGGAGTGTAAGACCGCATGGTACATTGCTTCAGTTTGACACTGGTTCCCGCAATCCAGTAGGACCGTTGGTATAACGTCGGGACCTTTTCACACTATGGGCAAGGCGAAGATCTCCTTCGGTTCGTACAGGTGAACGTTTGCAGTTTTACCTTCGGCACGTACTAGCGGTTGGTCATTGTGACTTACGATTGTGGGGACGAAAAACGGATGTAGCCGAAATGTCCGGAGTTCTTCGTTAATTGCGCGTTTGATTAGCCAATCCAGTCTGTCGAAAATCGATCGCTTGGCCATGTTGAGCAGACTACTTATGAACCACATTATTAGACGCCGACTCACTCCACCGGTAAGTGAGGTCACCGAAATTTTAGCCCATTGTACCGTTTCTAGTTGGGCGATACGTGCAACCGGATGGTAAATTGGCAACCACGAATTCAGCGGCAGTCCATTCCCCGTCAGCATTTGTGGAAACAGTTCAATCAGCATTCGAACAGACATTGATGTCAGGCTAATGCGGTAATCCTTCGATGAAGTAAACGAGAGGAAATGCCGTGTAAATAAGGTTCGCATTACATCACAATCAACTACCAAGTTATCGAACAAAACAGACTTAAAAGTAGGATGATCACTATGTCAATTTGGGTAAGAATCAACTCCGAACGAAAGTTTCTCCGTGATTAGTGCACCGTTATGCAGGAAATCTCTGTGAATTTTCGCTTCTCTTCATCACACTTGTATGCATTCATCCCTCCCGAACGTGGCAATCGTGACGAATTTGCGGATTGGTTGCCTTCTGAGTGACTTAGATTTATGTCATCTGACTACTCGTTAGTAGTTTGTTGTTTTAATCAGAGCCATTCCACTGGTACCCGAGGCTTGGTGTGTGAATGTAAAGTAACATGTGCATATATATTTTCAATTATGTCATCTCTCGTTAGTAGTTTGTTGTTTTAATCAGAGCCATTCCACTGGTACCCGAGGCTTGGTGTGTGAATGTAAAGTAACATGTGATGTGC